CCCCAAAACCCCAAAACCCCAAAACCCCAAAACCCCAAAACCCCTAGGTTATCAAATATTATTGATATAAAAATGGGGAATAAGAATTGTTGAGTTGGAGAAAGAGCTCAAAAATGTCTATCCTCCGAGGCTGATGAGAGAAAAGATGCTATTAGAGGAATTAATCAAGATGAAAAGTAAGGCACAAAGGTTGAGACAAAATTTATTTGAAAAAATTAAGTGAGAATGCTAGAACAAGATTTTAATAAAAAGTTAAATAGGCTATGGCTTTTACATATATTAGAAATTTAGCAGGAAATTATCTATTATTTTTGTCAGGGATGAGGATTTGGATATTGGTTTTATTTCTTTATCCTAATCTTGTATAATGTAATGTTTTAGACCAAAACATAAGAAGCATAAATCTACTAATGATGGCCACGACAAGAAAATTGAGTTTACATCAACACACATTCAAAGTAACTCCTTTAGTATAAATCATAGTTAAATATGACGAATCTTTCTATGATAACGAAAATGATTGCATCAAAGACCATAAATTAGCTCCTCCTCGTCTTTTGCCTAAACCTTCTGCTACAAAGCGTATTTCCTATATGTAAATTCCTTCTAATACTTATAGGATGAGTAAGTCTAAAAAGGTAAGACAAAGAGTTCAATACTAGTTTTTTGTTCATCTTCAAACCCACTTTTCTTAGTTATCTTCAAGTGCTTACTAATAAAATTGTTCTTTATCAATTTTTAGGTTATTAAGCTCCTCTTCTTTACTCAATATCCTTGTAACCAGCTCTCTAGCACATTTAATTGCTCCGAACATTAATTTCTTGTGCTCTGACCTCTCTGAGCGCTTAGTTTAATATTTTTCTGTTTAAGCTCTTAGTATAACCATTTGTTCCAAATTTTTCATTTAATTTTAATGCTGATAAATAAGAGTATGGAAATGGCTCATGGAACAAGGTTTTCCCACCCGAATCCCGACACAGATTCAAGAAAAAGAGCCAAGAAAAATATAAAAGCTAGATGGAGGAAGAAAGGCAGAAAGACTTTTGGAATAGACAGTGAATTAGAGCCAGAAGAAGGAGGCAATAAGAGTAATTTAGTCATCAGATAAAGATTATATTGACATTAACAAGGGGTTAAGATGAGCAAAGATTTAGCCAATAAGAGGGTTTAAGTGGGTGATAAAAGAGAATTTTAATAGGTTTAGATGGGGTCTGAGGATATAGAGATTTTTAGAAAATGTAATGAGGTTTGGGGCTATTTTGGAGAAGAAAGATGTCATTTTTACATAAATTATTAAACATAAGAGTTTGATTTTATGGTATTGCAAGATTATAGAGAGATAAATTTTTTAGATACTTTCTTTCATTAAACTTGTTCTAATTTTGGTGGTAAATATTTGATTCTTCCATTCACATTCCAAAAAAAAGGACAGATTAAGCACAAATCCTAAAAACGGCTAACCTATTCATTGTCACACCATCACTTAATCCATCCCAAATCCCAAAAACTATCGAAACCTCACCCATCTAAACCAGCTCCACTCTTTCCATCTCCCGATTGAGTCCTCTGAAACCAAAATATCCTCGTCTTACAATAAACCTATTTTTGGAGATTTCTCAAAATCTCCAAAAAGTGATCTAAATTTAGAAAAATTAGAAATATTGGGATTTTCAGAAATTTTAGGATTTTTTTGAAAATATTTAGGCTTGGGTTGAAACGTTGGGAAAAGGAGTTGGGTGTAGAGAGAAATATTGAATGGAAGAGATTAAAAGTAGTGGTGTGGGTAAAAATTGTATAATTAGGGATAGGTAAAAGGGCAATAAGAGGGGAATAAAAGAAAGTCTGGGGAGAGGTGGGAGGAATGAAGGAATTTGTCTTGAAGAGTGGTATTTAAGAGTTTTATCAACATTTGATGTTGATTTAGAGAGATTTGAAGATTTGATTACATTTTTGTATTATTTATTAAATAATTTATTTTAGAACACATCAGCGAAGATAGGAAAATTTGGGGTTTTGGGGTTTTGGGGTTTTGGGG